CCTCCTCCTTCTCCACCTCCTCCTCCCCCCATCCTCTTCCCCCCCCTCCTCCTCCTCCTCCTTCCTCTCCCCCCTCTTCGCTTTTCCATCAAGGGTGACGAAAAGCAGTAGACCAAGAAAGCGGCAGAATGTGGAGGATGTTTAACTCAAGGACGATAGCCCGGATGTGAGGTTATTGCCAATATAGGTATGGTAAGAGAGGGTGGGGAAGGAGGGGGGAGAGGGAGACGTGGGGGAAAAGTTGAGGGGGGGAGAGGGAGAGTTGGGGGAGAGGGAGAGTTGGGGGGAGAGGTAGAGGGAAAAACAGGGGTGGGGGAAGGTAGAGGGAGAAATAGGGGGAATGAAAGGTGTGTGTGTGTGAGAGAGAGAGAGAGAGAGAGAGATAGAGAGGGAGAGAGAGTGAGTGAGAGAGAGAGAGAGAGAGATAGAGAGGGAGAGATAAAGAGAGAGAGAAAAAAAAGAACGAGGAAGACAGCGAGAATGAAACAGAGAGAAGGTGAAAAAGAGAAAAAAAAAGAAAGAGAGAAAAAAAATCTGATTATCACCTCGCCCTGCTTCGGAAAATAAACCTAAACTTACGCCAAGGTGTAGACACATTCACGCTCTCTCGCAAACCAGCAATCAGGATCCAGCGTAATGTTGATCCAACTTGCTCCGACGTCTAGATCTTAATGAATGTCAAGCTGAGAGGCGGACATCCATCCGTTGCTATGGAAACGATCTTCAAGCGTAAGATATTAGCTGATAAGTGTGATATTGAGACTCATTTCGCCTCCGTTTCTCCATCGCTCTTGTCTAAGCCTTATCTCGTTTTCTTCCTTATTTTATTTTCTTATTTCTCTGGCTTTGAATCTCTCTCTCTTTTTCTTTTATTCTCTCTTTCTCTCCCACTTATTCATGCCTTTTGTTCCCTATCTCCCCATTCCCCTCTCTCGTTTTCTTTTGGTTTATTTTCTCTCTTCTTTCCGTACGTCCCTGTTTTTTAGATGGTGGTTGAGATAATGTATTATGACATGTAAACATACATTCGTTTATTCATGTGTGTGTGCCTAATATGTATGTATGTATGTATGTATGTATGTATGTATGTATGTATGTATGTATGTATGTATGTATGTATATATATATGTATATATGTATGTATATATGTATGTATGGATGGATGGATGCATGTATGCATGCATGTATATATGTATGTATGTATGTATGTATATATGTATGGATGCATGTATGTATGTATGTATGTATGTATGTATGTATATGTTCATTTATTATTATTTTTTATATATTTATCAAGGTATGTATGTGCACATAACATGTAACATGCGCCCCTATATATATAGCCGTGTAAACACCGTCACAAACACACACAGAGCTCCTACACACAGACACAGATTGATAACGAGAAAGAGAGAGAAAGAAGAAGAAGACAAAAAAAAGAAAGAAAGACAAACAAGAAGAGGAGAAAGAGGGAAAGAAAAAAAAGATAAAAAAGTAGGAGAAAAACAGAGAGAAACCGAAGCAATATTCAACACGTGAAGTGGCCTCTTGTCTGACAGATGAGCTCCACGCTGGCCAGTGGAAAGGAAGTCAGTGAGGTGTAGAATAAGAAGGTAAAGGATGGTGATGAAGTTGGTGATGGTGGTGATGGTGATGGTACTAATGGTGATGAAGATGGTGATGGTGATGGTACTAATGGTGATGATGGTGGTGATGATGATGTGGTAAGGATGATGATACTAATGGTGGCGATAGTGATGGCAAAGGTGATGATGCTAATGGTGATAATGGGGGTGATAGTGATGGTAATGGTGATGATGCTAATGGCGAGGATGGTGGTGATGGTAATGATGATGATGCTGATTATAATGCTGATGGTGATGATAGCGATGGTGAATGAGAATGTAATGAAAAACATTTACGACATTAACACTAATGAAAATGAATATGAGGATGATGATAATGATGATGATAATGTTGATGATAATCAAATAACAACAATAACAACAACAACAATTAAAATAAAATTAATTTATTGATAGTACTTTAAATAACAACGAAACAAAAATAAGAACAACAATGATGATGATAAAGAATAATAAAGAAAAAAAAAACGAAGTTAGTGATAATAAGTCCAAAACGAAGAAGATAAAGAGGAAGAAGACGAAGGTGAAGAAACACATGGAAGAGTTGAAGAAGAGAGGAAGAGGAAGGAGACGAAGATAGAAGATGTATATAGAAAGAGAAAGAGAATAGGGAGAAGATGAAGCTAGAAGGAGATGAAGGAGAGGAAGAGGAGGAAGAAAGCGAAGAAGAAGAAGAGGAAGAAAGAGAAATGAGATGGGAAGAGAAGATAAAGGAATATGGTAAGTAATGAGGAGGAAGAACGAAAAGGAAAAGAAGACGAACAAGAGGAACTACAAAATGGAAGAAGAGGCAGGATAAAATGAAAAGAACAAGGAGATAGGATAGAGGCGATACCCCCTCCCCCCGTACCCTAACCCATCCCCCCACCCCCCACAACCCACCCGCCCATCCCTAACCCATCCCCCCACCCCCAACAACCCACCCCCGGCCCTCGCAACCGCAAATTGACTTCGTCCCAGAACAGAATCGGGAATAAAGACGCACGCGGTACTTTGGCTGCTCATCCGCGCGTGAGTTGCCCTTTAAGTCTCCTCAAAGACATATT